ACACCTTTACACTAGTCCCTAGTCCCCTAGTCTCTAGTACCCTAGTCCCCTAGTCCTTAGTCCCCTAATCCCTAGTCCCACAGTCCCCTATAGCCTCTCTAGTCCCCTAGTCACATGGTCCCATAATCTTATAAATCTAGTCTCATAGTACCTTAGTCCGTTGTACCATCGTCCCCTTTAGTCTCTAGTCCCCAAGTCCCCTAGTCCCCTAGTCCCCTAGTCCCCTAGTCCTTAGTCCCATAGTACCCTAGTCCCCTAGTCCATATAGCACTTAAAACCCTGAAAGGCCCCTAGGATGATGTCACCCCATAAACGCTGCATCTTCTGAATACAAAGCATCTTTTCTGCAATCCGAGGGGTAAATTATAAACAAAGATGATTCAGGGGAGGGGGAAAAGTGTGTGGGATCAAAGCCTAAGCCTGCCAATAATTCACTTGAATAATTTACTTCACGGGTCCGTGGTTCATTTATAAATTATGCTTGGGTATATACCTTGGTATGCCATAGTATTCAGGTACCTGGCTTGGAATTGAAGTTAATTAACAATTGGAGAGTTAAAAAAATATTTTATTTTTGACTGGTTCAAAGCCAACAGTTAAGTGGCCTATCATCACCATGTCATATTGTTAAGTGCAATTAGATTTTTTTCTGCAAAAAACGCGGCAATGTCAATTTTGGTAAAATAGTTGATAGTTATGTCAAGACAAGACTCAAGACTGCTGACAACTTTCTGATCGAAAATATTCTTCTTTTGTTTGAAAATAAACTTATTCTGGGTGGAATATATGTACTTCAAGAGGAAACCCTAATATTTTGATTGTAATAATATCGAAATAAAATAATTTAAAAATCACGAAATATGAACATATTTAGTTAATAATTTTAAGAGAATGTTTATTGTTCTGAAATTTAAGCTAGACGTTTTATCAACCTTGCGGTTAATATTGGGAAATATAAGGTAATTTTTCTATCTTAAGAAATTATTTTGTAATTCATTCTTGGTATTTGTTGGATAAGTCACTTTTAAAGAGAAACCTCAAATGAAAATTATATTTTTTTTAACAGAAAAACTAAGATATCTCTTTTTTTGCTCAGAAAAAAATTTAAATGGCAATGATGTGAATCTAGCTTGCCTCTTTTAAATAGAGGCAAGCTTAAAATTACTTTTCAGACGCTAATTGTGCTTTATTCTATTCCAATGAGCCTTATATATTAATAATATAACTATTTATAACACTGTTGTTTTGGTTCGCAGTGTTATAATGTTTTTGAACAGATATTTTCGCTTTCTTGAGAAGGCGAGATCGAGATTTAGAGAAAATTTAAGTCCAAAAACTTTATTACTTCATGCCAAAATATTAGTGTTATATGTATAATTTTATTAAACGTTTGTGTATTGTCTTATTTTAATGGCTGTTTCTAGATCAAATAAGCTTTGAAACAAAGAAGAAGTCAAAATATGAAGTTAATTTAAATTTTATTTTTATTTCAATTGAAAAAAATATTTTGGAAATATCCTAAATTTGTTTGGAGAAAATCCGGGAAATCAAAACTTTACAGCACACGTGTTATAATGTACAGCTAGTTTAACTTTATAGCACGATGATTACTTTATAGCACGTTCATTATGTAATTCACGATGAAGTGAGGAAGAATAATTACATTATAGTTACATAAAAGACTAAAGCAAAATTGATATTTTTAAAAAAGAGTCGGTGAGTGCACACTGCACGTGCACTTTTTACAATATTTTCCCTTACATTAATTACTTGAAAACCACATAGTTTGATTTTTATCTAACCACACGCACCTGCACACCGAGCCGAGTAAAAATAGAAACCACTATTTAAAATTAATAAACTGTTAGAATAGGAATATGCTAGGCTGTCTATGAGAAGTACAATTACAAAACTTCTAACGCTTTACTACAATTTAATTACACCCCGCAAAATAATTGCTATTAGCTCAGAGTTACACACTAACTGATACACTACGCTTACAACTACATTATCACATGCATTTTTTGAACAGTTTGTTAAAAAAATATTTTTAAACCCTATTCTTGTTTTGATCAAATGTATATTTTTATTGAATACCTTATGAATTGGTCAAATTAGTATTATAGCTAATATTAGATTAAAACTGATAAATTTAGAAGTTTTATTTATTAGGTTCTCAACTTGTAAATATAAAATGCATTAGTTGATGCTAATTTACTAATAATCAATGATCTTAAAGCTCGTACTCCTATTGGTCAAATCTCCGAACTTTGACCAATAAGCGACGGGTTGAAACTGAACTGACTGGATTAAGCTTTTCGGGGCAAGGCAATGATTTTAACTCATTCCGTCAAATCAAAAGTTGATAGCTCTGTTAATTTAGAAGTTCAGAACTCTATTTAGTAAAATATTATTTTTAGTTCGACGAGAGCGACAAGTTTCAGGCTCACAAGGAGTAGATAGACAGGATCAAAATGTACCAGGTATAGTTTATAATTAACAACTTTTTTGTTCTTTCAAAATACAGTCGTCGTCGCATTACTATGATTCCAAATTTGGGTTTAAATTTTGATTTAAGTCAAGCTTATAAACAGGATATATACACATAAACATGGAAACAAAGAAAGGCTGTTGATGAATAAAGCTTCTCTTTAATTATTTGTAAACTTGTAATTCGTGAAAAGCTAGTTAACATTCAAAAATAAAAAAGTCGTCTTCATTGTGTTAATTTAATCGAAAACCACTGTAAGTCAGCAATCAATTTATTACCATATTGCGTTTACCGGATATTGTTTGTCTATTTACTACCTATTGTAAATCCTAATATCTCTGTTTATTGCTTAGTTTTAACAAGTTTTGGATTTAAAGTGAAAGATGCAACTATGATGATAAGGTGTTTGGTACTTTCCCAAGCGCGACTTTCAAAGAGGCAACTCCCCAAATGTGAAATTTTCCAAGCAGCTAGTTCCCAAAGGTTAGGTTAGGCCTGCTGAGGCGCCGCAGGTTACAATGAGGGCATAGTGCTGCGGCTAGGATGGACCAGGGGCCGAGCCCTGCGGCTAAAATGCTAGACTTGGGAAGTTGCCGCTTGGGAAATTGCCTTTGGGGAAGTACCTAACATTTATAATGATAAGACAAGGTCCTTAACTATCTCTTTGAATTTTGAATTTAAAAAAGAGGTAGACCACAATTTTGAAATCCCAGGATTAAAGGTCAAGGTCTTTAATGCAAAGTGAATGTGAAACGATTCACAAATGGATTATCTAATAGTTGTCAAACAATTTCCATATTTACAATGCTTCGAGAAATATTTTGCCAAAAAGTAATTTTTTTGTTCTCGGTTATTATCAATAATTTTATTTTAGATTTTACAATTCCGTTTCCAACAGACTTCTCATTTAGGTAATATAAATAAGTTATTTTCACATATCATATTTTTTTTTTTCATTATTGTTATTGACTTAGACTTACTATTTTAACTGCAGTTATTTCTATTTTTGTATTGCTATTTCAAATATTTACATTTGAAAATTTTGGTATATTTTAGTGAGTTTGGAAGTCCATTTGGAAATGCTCAAGGATTCCAACAGTTTTTATCTGGTAAGTTTATCTAATTTTTGAGAAATTGTTAGTTAAGGTCGTCTTAGTATACCCACCAAAGAAAAAGATGGAGTTCTTTTGATTTTTTTTTCAGGACTTGGAGCCGGAGGGGGTGTCGAGCAAGGCTCGCGATTTAGGAATAGTTTTTATGATTCAAAATATTTCTGTTTATCTATCTGTCTATCTGTCTATCTGTCTATCTGTCTATCTGTCTATCTGTCTATCTGTCTATCT